ACAGCCAGAACCACAACCAGAACTAGAACCACAACCAGTACCACATCCAGAACCACAGCCAGAACCACAACCAGAACTAGAACCACAACCAGAACTAGAACCACATCCAGAACTAGAACCACAACCAGTACCACATCCAGAATCACATCCAGAACCACAACCAGAACTAGAACCACATCCAGAACCACATCCAGAACCAGAACTAGAACCAGAACTAGAACCACATCCAGAACCACATCCAGAACCAGAACTAGAACCAGAACTAGAACCACATCCAGAACCACATCCAGAATCACACCCAGAACTAGAACCACAACCAGAACCAGAACCACATCCAGAATCACACCCAGAACTGGAACCACAAGCACAACCAGAATGTGAACCACCACCAGAATCACATCCAGAAACAGATCCAGTTGGACTTGGTTATGGTAAACAGTTTCACTCAGTCACCTTTGTCCCTCTGTCCACAGTACGTCCCTGCTAAAGGTGAGACGGTCATCGGCATCGTCACTGTAAAGTCAGGAGATGTCTTCAAGGTGGACTTCGGGGGAAGTGAACAGGCATCTCTGTCCTACCTGGCGTTTGAAGGAGCCACTAAGAGGAACAGACCCAACGTCCAGGTGAGACGCTGAGGATAGCAGAGGGTCCAGGTGAGACGCTGAACAAGAATCCAGGGACTGATGGTTCTGTGTGTGTCTTACCTGCGCAGGTGGGGGACCTTGTCTTCGCTCAGTTCATTGTAGCCAATAAGGACATGGAGCCGGAGCTGGCGTGTATCGGCAGCTCGGGACGAGCCAATGGGATGGGAGTGTTTGGAGGGGGCGGGCTGTTGTTCAGAGTCTCTCTGGGACTCATCAGAAGGTCAGTCACATGTTCTGACATCACAAGTCATGTGATAGAGAATGAACAAGGCTGCACTGACACGCACATCATCAATATTACCAACAATCAATAATAATTAAAACCAAGATGTCCAACCCCCAGGCTGCTGTCCCCCCACAGCGAAGTGCGGTCCGACCTGGAGCAGCTCTTCCCCTGTGAGCTCGTGGTCGGAATGAATGGTCGTCTTTGGGTCAGATCCTCCAGCGTCCATCAGACCCTTGTCATCGCAAACCTGCTGCAGAGCTGCGAGACCATGACGCCGCTGCAGAGACGGGAGCTGTTCATGAGGGTCAAACAGGGGGCGCTGTAGACCACGTCACACCAGGTCTGATCCTCCTGTGGAGGTTGTGATGTCATTGTTTATTCCAGGACCCTGTGATATCTCCACTGCGGTTTAAAGGAACAGTCCATGTATTTTTATAATTTTGTGAAATGAATAAAGTGAATCAATCTGCAGCTCAGTTTCATTTCAGCACTTTGACAGATAAAGATCTTTCCTCTTCAGCAAAGTGGTCAGTGATTGGCTGTCTGCTCAGATTCAGCCAATCACAGCCCAGTCTCTGTTGATAGGTGCTGGAATGAAAAACGAGTCACCAGCTGCTCCTAGATCACATGACAAAGGCTGTGATGTCATCAGAGTGAGAACTGATGAGATGCTCACTTCTGTTGTTCTGTGACGTCACTGCTCTGGCTCCGTCACCCTCAAGAAATCCACACGCGAATCACACGTTAAGCTACTCGTCCAATGAAGTGCAAGGGTCTGGATTCAGCTGATCGGGATCAGCTGCTGAAACCTGAAGTATTGATCTGCAGTTTATTAAACATTGGTTTTATTAAAATACAAATGACACAAGAAGCTTCATCCGAAAACAAATTTTAATGAACTTAATTTGAATGACCAGAGAGGAACCGACTCATCTATTCATTTGTGAACAAAAGAATAAAGATTTCCTAAAGAAACAAACAAGATATTTACAAGCACTATAACACACACACACACACACACAGTGTGTATGTTTGTCGGATTGATCAATAGTGAGATGAGAACAGCTGATCACATTCATGTTGACCTAAGTCTTTGGTTCTAACAGCTCTGATAAGGACACTTAGAGATACAATCAATCAGTCAATATAAATCAGTCAGTCAATCAATCTAAATCAGTCAATCAATCAATCAGTCAATCAATCTAAATCAGTCAGTCAATCAATCAATCAGTCAATATTTAAGATAGATTTACAGCTACAGTCAATCACCTGAAGAAGAACAGCTACAAAGATTGTAGATTTTTCATGGATTCACTGTCGACATCTTCAGCAGATACAACACTGACCCAGACCTGGTTCCAGACCTGGACTTGAAATGAACCTGGACTGAAACCTGGACCTGCTGAGGCTCTGGTCTGGAGCTGGTCCAGTTTAAGAAACTTAAATAAACTGGTTTCATACAAATATTTAGGGATTTTTGTGAAGAGAAAGAGTTGAATAAAATATATTGATCACAAACCTGATCATGATTAACTTTTAAAATTACACACACTCACTGTGTTTAGATCTGATGTGAAACTGGTTCCACAAATAATGAATAAACCTGTTTCTGATCCGGGATCAGTTTCTGTTAAAGTTTAGACAATCACTCAGTCAGGTACATCCAAACCGTAAACTGGATCTAATTTGGATCACAGTGAACTGGAGACATGGTCATCTGTAAGTGGAACCATGAATTCAGATTACTTCACACAAACATGTTGGTTTTGATCCAGATCAGAGGAATCAGGATCAGACCAGATCTAAACCACCTGCTCATTACCCATAATCCCCCACCAGTAAATGTCTGGACCATGTCACCCAGCAGCCCCATCGTTGCTGTTCTGATTGTCTGATTTTCAAAATAAAAGGCTTGTTTGGGATGTGTCGCAGCAGCGTAGGACCAACAGACCGAGGCAGCTGCTGGTTACAGACAGCGGCCAATCAGGGCCAATCAGGGCCAATCAGAGCCAATCAGAGCCAATCAGAGCCAATCCTTGAGGCCCTGCAGAGAATACAACAACACAAATCCTTATTCTGTCAGAACGTGCAAAATAAAAAGAATAAAAGAAAAAGTGAGACCAGCTCATTTGTTCATCAGAGCAGACGCCACAGATTAAAGTCAGCATTTGGTTTCACTGCATCGGTCTAGTCGCTGGTCACATGACCTCTCCTGCTCTGCCTCACGGTTTCCCCACGTCCACCGTGATTTTAGTGAACAGGTCGAACTTGTCCAGTTTAACCACTTTGTAGGAGAGAGAGTTGATCCCGTCTTTGTGCATCGTCTCTCTGGTGTGAGCGATTCTGTTGAACCTGAAAGACAAAAAACAAACTGACGCGTATCTAAACACTTTGCAGTTCACATCACACTGAGGATCCACTGATGGTTCATTACCTCTGAGGGTTCGCCTCGTTCTGTTTGTCTCTTTCGTGTCGAATCATCCGACATTTTCCCACCTCGCCGTTGGGCCTGGAGATGGACATGCCTTTAGACGCCAACCTGGAAACACGACACAAACATGTCATACATGCGAGTGTGTGAAGGTATTAGACTCCGAACTCAGATGATCGAACCAGCTTCAGCTCCAGTTCTGTTCTTGTCTGCTAAAGATGTGTCATCCTGCCTTACCCAGACTCGAACCTGGACTTGACCAGAACCAAAACCATCACAGAAACAAGACCAGCACAGGAACCTATATCAGAACATTAGCAACGGACCAGAACAAGAACAGCTCCAGGCGAGTACCAGACCAGAACAGAAAACAAACTAGAACAATTACCATACCAAACCCAGTCAAGTCCCAGACCAGCACCACTACCGCAGCTGGACCAGCAACCATACCAGACCCAGACCAGCGCCACTATAAGACAAAAACTACAACTAGGACCAGCACCAGACCCAGGCCAGCCCTACTACCAGCACCTCTACAAAACCAGCACAATTAACACTACCTGACCAGTACAAAAAAACAGTAACAGTAACAAACAGTAGCAGACCAGAACCAAAACCAGACCACCAGACAGAAACATAAATATAAACCTACTCCTCACAGGGATTCTTCCACATTACATTTCCAACAGTGAGTTTCACATGTGAGGCACTGATCAGAGAGAGTGAGAGA